TTTAGAAAAAGGTTTATCGTTCCAACTGCAATTTATGATAATTCGCACGCTTAGCTAAAGTAAAGACAGCAAAAATTGCGTCTGGCAGTAAGTGCCGAATTTTCCAAGAGATGGCATTTCAATAAGTCAGATAAGGACATTCCACGTATTTGAGTGAGACCAAAAGATATTGTAAGAAGTTCATTTAGAGATATCACTGACACTGAAAAGTCTGCTTTATCGACTTCGTACAAATTTGGCCGACCTTTCAGCATCCTCTTAACCTATCACCTGTCGTAAACTTTTCATAAGTACAAAAGTTCTGCAGCTCATATGTACAGCAAAAGTACCTAGCGCGCATCGGATTACTTGCACAAATAATGCAAGACTTTTAGAGGTACGATTGGAAGCGTAGAAAAAAAGTTATCCATTAGAATGCAATTTGTGGTAATTCGTACACTAAACTAAGCACAAAACGATTAGCAGAGCAGTATAATGTGTCTAGCTGTAGGTGGTCAATCTTGCGAGAGATGGCATTACAGAAGAAAGGGCGCGTCGGTAAATTCGCACACAGAGACACTCCGATTATTCATGTGACGCGACTCGGGACTCCGAGCAAGCGAGAGAATCTGTCTTTCTCGCTCCGCTCTCTCCTTGTTCGACTGATGCGCTCGAGGCTCTATGTTTTCTCGGAGTGAATGTAAGGAGATAACCATCTCAAACCTTGCTGAATTTAAAATGTGATAATATATCCCTTGTACTAATGCATATATAGTAGCAGTTATGTCAATGCGCAATAATTTATTAAATATTATTGTTAAAATTGTCTGTGTGTCTTATTTACTAGGTTTGTAAACTTGAGATACATCTAGTTCGTGTGGTCGATTGAATTAAGCGCGTGACTAGAATGTACGTGACTGGATGTTCCAAGTTCAAGTCTTACTGTTTTCATAATTTTTTATTGAAATAATAGGCAAAACATTTTTTTTTATAATTATTGTAATTATTCGTGTACTTTTCATATAGGACAAATACTTGCATATTATAAAATTTTGTAGACATCCTTACAAAATATAAAATCATCGTTTTTATTTATTGTTGAAATATTTACATACATTTGAATAAGTAATTTAGCAAACGAGATTTTAATGCAATGATATACATAATTATATATTTTGTAAGGATGATGCCTACGAAATTTGAAAATATACAAGTATTTCTCCTACTTAAAAAGTACATGAATAATTTGAATTATATAAAAAAATGTTTCGCCAATTACTTTTAAAAATTACAAAAATAAGAGAAAAATAAGGATTGAAACGTAGAATATCCAGTATTCTTGTCACGTTTTACTCGCTCAGCCACACGAACTAGCTGTATCTCAAATTTACGAACTTAGTTTATATATTATACAAAAAATTTTAACAATTATTAACTATTGCGCATTGACACGATTACTACTTTAGCATTGATACAAAAGATATACTACTTATAATATAAGGGAGATAATAATTTTCAAATTTTCTACAATTGACAAGGAAGGGAGAAGAGACGGGGAGCCATAAATACATTTTTTATACATAATAAACATATATATTTTCTTATAATACATTTTTTTTATTTTTTTATTTACCCGGCAATGGCACATATCCCGGCGGCAAAGGCACGTACCCCGCCGACGGGACGTATCCCGCCGACGGGACGTATCCCGGCGACGGGACGTATCCCGACGACGGGACGTATCCCGGCGACGGGACGTATCCCGCCGACGGGACGTATCCCGGCGACGGGACGTATCCCGCCGACGGGACGTATCCCGCCGACGGGACGTATCCTGCCGACGGAATAAATCCCGGTGGCGACGGCGCTGGAGCGTACCCCGGTGGTGGTGATGACGCCGGAGCGTACCCCGGTGGTGGTGATGGCACTGGAACGTACCCCGCTGGTGGCAATGGCGCTGAAGCGTACCCCGCTGGTGGCAATGGCGCTGGAGTATATCCTGTCATATATCCCGGCGGTGATGGCGCTGGGATATACGGTGCCACATATCCCGACGACGGCAGTGGCGCTTGTATATATCCCAGCGTCGTGGCCGCTGGGATATACTTTTGATTCTTGCGGCGCTCTTTCGCCACCGCCTTCCGAAGTAGATTAATTTTCTGAAACATAAAATATTATTATTTATAACATACACAAAAATAACATACACAATTAACATGAATGCATACATACATATTATTTATGTTGTATGCAAACATATGCTTGTGTGTAGTGTGTGTGTGTGTGTGTGTGTGTGTGTGTGTGTGTGTGTGTGTGTGTGTGTGCGCTGCGCGCGCGCGCTGTGTAATTGACGAAATATGATTCGATAAGTCCTTTGCACTAACCTCCTTCAATTATCGATCAACAATTGGAGGATGCGCAGAGGACGAATCGAATTGAGGTTCCTGTTTACCACACAAAGTAAATATATATATATAATAAGTATTTACCTTCTTCAACACATTCTTGGATGCTGACGGCGGTGGTAGCGGTGGCGGTGCCCATACTGCCGGTGGTGGTGGCGGTGTCGGTGTCAATGCCGGTGGTGATGGCAGTGGTGCCGGTACCGATGTCGGTGGTGGTGGCGGTGGTACCGGTGCCGATGCCGGTGGTGGTGGCGGTGGTACCGGTGTCGATGCCGGTGGTGGTGGCGGTGGTACCGGCGCCGATGCCGGTGGTGGTGGTACTGCTGCTGGTGCCGGCGCTGCCGCTGATGCCGGCGCTGCTGCTGATGCCGGCGCTGCCGCTGCCACCGTTGCTGCTGTATTGAGGCAGCAGCCTAGACTTTTGGCTGAAATAAAAGAAAATAATTAATATTGCATCCTATCTCTCTTATTTCCTCTTTTTCGAGCTCACTCACTCACTCACTCATTCACTCATTCGCTTACTCATTCACTCACTCACTCACTCTCTCACTCTCTCTCTCTCTCTCTCTCTCTCTCTCTCTCTCTCTCTCGTTTATTTTCATGCAACTTCTTGCTCACTCGCACGTTTTCACAACAATCCATTCGCTCGTTCGCTCGCACATTTTCGCACCACTTGTCTCGTTCGCAAGCCGATGAAGAAAGATGATCTTTACTGTTTTCAACAAATTTTCACGCAAACGCATGTCGTATCATTGTGATATCAGAGACTATTGATATACGACACATACGTTTACGTGTAAATCATTATACGGTGACCACGACAACGATTTTCCTTTACGTACTTTGTCGGAAACACTAACGATCATCTTTTTGCGTCGGCCTGTGAACGAGAAAAGTGGTGAAATTCTCGTTCACTCACTTGTTCACTCGCTCGTCTTTTCTCTCTCTCTCTTTCTCTTTCTCGCACGCGCGCAATTATACTTACATTTTCTCACCGGCCTGCCCACTTTGTTCGACATATCGCAGATCCACGTCCACTGATCACTTATACAGTCTGAGCACTAATGGCGAAATGCGAATGTCCACTCGCAAGTCGCACGCCGGGCACCGAGAGCGTCGACCGTGTAGAGCCA